CAGAAAATAAGTATAGACCCTTAATTCCAATCCCTCTTGTTAACCAGGATCTGACATGTTAGAGCCCCTTTTCCAAGATATGTTCCCTTTCACAGGGGTGTCTGGAGGCAGGGGCCCGTTTCTTATAAGCCCACAACCCACCAGCCTCCGCTGAAGACGAGCGAGTGAGTGAGCTGTGAAAGCCAGCAGCTGCCACGGAGGCCACAGTGCAGCGATGCAGTGACCAGCTATCAAGGGCCACCAGGGTGTCCTACAAGCAAGAGTGTGCCCTGAGCCTGCAGTGAACATTTGATTTCCTTAGCCATGTCCTTATGAGAGGAAGAAAGCTCAGGGTTAAATATATGGTGCTGGAATGGGAATTGATTCCTTTGAGCACACCATGCAATATACAGATGATGGGAGATAGAACTGTACACCTGAAACTTACATAATCTATTATTTTTTTTAAATAAATTTTTATTGTTCATATTATTACAAATGTTCCTCCCCCCACCCCCTCCATTGCTCTCCTCCACCAGGTTCCCATCCCACCCTCTGCCCTTTCCCCACCCCGCATTGTCCTCATCTATAGGTGCACAGTTTATGTTCAGTCTCTTCCCACATCCCCCTCTCCCCTTTTCCTCAAGAATCATCAGTTCACTCCCCTTCCATACCTCTGATTCTATTATATTCACCAGTTAATATTGTTCATCAGATTTTTTTTTAATTTCCTTGGTTTTTAGATTCACTTGTTGATAGTTACGTATTTGTCGTTCATAATTTTTATCTTTATTTACTTTCTCTTCCGAAAGAACCCCCTTCAGCAATTCATATAATTCTGGTTTGGTGGTGATGAACTCCTTTACCTTTTTTATTATTGGTGAAGCTCTTTATCTGGCCTTCGATTCTGAGTGATAGCTTTGCTGGGTAGATTATCTTTGGCTGTAGGTTCTTACCTTGAATATTTCTTGCCATTCCCGTCTGGCCTGCATGGTTTCTGTTGAGAAATCAGCTGACAATTGTATAGGTGCTCCTTTATAGGTAACTACCTGCTTTGCTCTTGCTGCTTTTAATATTCTCTTTGTCTTTTGCTCTTGGAATTTTAATTATGATTTGTCTTGGTGTGGTCCTCTTTGGATTCCTTTTGTTTGAAGTTCTGTGCACTTCCTGGATTTGTAAGTCTAATTCTTTCACCAGGTGGGGGAAGTTTTCTGTCACTATTTCTTTCAGTATGTTTTCGATATTTTGCTCTCTCTCATCTTCTGGGACCCCCCATAATTCTGATGTTGGTTCTCTTGAAGTTGTGCCAGAGGTTTCTTACATTATCTTCAATTTTCTGGATTCTCTTGCCTTTTAGCTTCTATGGAGGAGTGTCTTCTGGCTCTTTATGTTCCAAATCTTTGACTTGATTCTTGGCGATCTTCTATTCTGTTTTTAGGACTCTGTATAATATTTTTTATTTCAGACAATGTATTCTTTATTTCTTGTTGATCCCTTATCATTTCTCGTTGATTCCTTATTAATTCTAGTTGATCCCTTTTCATATCCTCATAGGTCTTATTGACCTTTTCTAGGAAATTCTTGAAAAACCTGATAAGCGTAGATTTGAACTCTATATCCAGTCGCTTTTTGTCCTCCATTTCTTTTGGTTGTGATCTATTTCGTTGTCGCATTTTCGCAGCTTCCCTGATGGGGCGGAGTTTCAGGGTGGAGCCTACAGGCTTGGCTTCTGTCAGCCCCGCCCTATGCAGCTCCTGAGTCTCAGGGTCCTTCAGTTCTCCTTGCAAGCGCCTCTGAGAGAAAGGTGCCCTCGCTTTTCGCCTGCTGCCAAACAGTCCAGTCTCTCCCCCAATGAGCCCGGTATTGGGGTTCAGTTCAGTTGGAAGTGGAATTGGAGGTGGTGTTCAGAGCAGTCTGGAGTCCCAGTCTCCTTCCTGCCAGGGCAATCCCACAGCACAGCCAACCATACCTTCTCTGCACGCAGTGTGCGAGCCTCCGGGACCTCCTTTCGCCACTCCCCCGGGGTTCTGCCTTACAGCCCAGTTCCCTATGGATGAGCCTGGGTCCTGGGATCTGGCCTAGAACTGGGGTTCAGAGCAGTAGGAACTGGGGCCCAGCACAGTCGGAGCTTTTATCTCCTTCCTGCTAGGGAACACCAGCCAGGCACTCAGCCGCCCCGCCCTTCCTCTCTGGCTCCGTCCTCTCTGTGTGCGCCGTGTGTCTCCGTACCTTAGGCTTTTACAGCTCCTCCGCTCTTCCTTCTGGCTTTCTCCTTGCTTCTCGTTGTAGAATTTCCAGTCAGTCGACTTTCCTGTAGTTCTGGGTAATGTCCATTTTATATTTTAGTTGTATTTTATTGAAATTGTTGTGTGCGGCTGTGGCTAAGTGTTTACCTGTGCAGACATCTTGGATTCTCCCTGAAACTTACATAATCTATTAACCAACACTGACCAATAAGTTCAATAAAGTGGAACAGAAAAAGAGAACTGGTAGATATTTTATCACTTGGTATCCAATTTCCTTAAAAATTGTTTTGCTTTTTGATATTATTAATTCCACATGCCTGCCTCAAATTATTTTTTGCATGTTCAAGTAAATAAAAACTTCAACATATGAAAATAACACCTTTTTCCTGGGTTATGAACTAGTGTGATATAGGAATAAAATAAAATTGTAGCCCTAACAGAAATGCATTCATTCAAAAACAAAGGTGTGGGTGATCTCAGCAGAGCCCACGGAGGCTGCCTTCTGGGCCATCTGGAGAGGCCGCTGCCCGCATCGCAGCAGAGGTCAAGGTCATGCCTGTGGGGGGTGAAGGTGTTCATGTGCCTCATGACTGTGGGAAGAGGACCTTTCACGGAAGGAAGTCTTTTACAGCCAGAACAAAACACAGCCAGGGACAGCCGAACTCCCACAATGGGTTGGGCAATGGTCCAAGGATGCTGATGCATCTTACCTAAGAAGGGGCACCTTTCCAGGTTAAGAACCAAATGTCGTTCCTCAGCTATACATCCTGGTAACACGTAGACATCAACAAGTAAGACAGGAAGACTCCCGGATGCCTCAAGGAGGTTCCCCAGAAGGAAACTCATCGGTGACTAGGTTCTGGGAAGTGATTAGTCTCACATTACAAGGTCTGCACCTCCCTCATGTTAACACCGGGGGAAAGGAGCCCATGACGTTAAATAAGTGGGTGGGTGGGTGGGGGGGAAGGGGCACCTGTGTCTGCACTGGTAGTAGCTTTCCACCCTCCCCTGCCTTATATTCCTAATTAACTATTTCCATTGAAAAGCAGGAATTATAACAATTACAAACAACATGGCTTATGGTAAAAATCGTAACATTAAAAAATTAAGGTAAAATTTTGTGGATGTTTCTGTGCACCCTCCCACAATCCCATCTGCCTCGCTCCTCCTGCGTGGCTCTGGGTGCTCTGTGCCCACGTCAGCATCTGTGTCCAGCCACCCTCGAATCACACCCAGCCCAGGCTAGGCCTCCTTCAGGAAAGGGTCTGGGAGGCAGGTGCGCACATGCCCAGGGACACAGCGGCAGCTGACGGAGTGCCTCACACAATTCTTAGGAAACATCATGATTTTTCCTGTAAAAGGGTGATTATGGAATATCTAGCTGACAATGAAAACTCCTTGTTATTTAATCATTTTGTTAATAGTATGATCAAGTTTAACTAGTGACTAATCAAGAGAAGATGAGGGGAAAATGAGATTTTACTCATGGCTTGCTAACCTGTTTCCCAATAAAAATACAAGTGGTTTTTTCTAAGACTTTTAGATTAGATTTATAAAAATACTCCTGCATACATAGAACAAATTATTTAACTATTTAAATCACATAGTTCAATAATTTACTTTCATATAGTAATAATAATATAATAAATCAATTTTAATATTTTAAATCACAAAATTTCCTTAAAAAGAGGCCTTGCTATTCTTTTGGTGCATGCACAACACAAGTCTGACAACCCTCCACCCTGGGTGCTTATTAAAAACTCCCAGCCTCCTTACATGCTCTCTGGGAATTTGGGGAGTAACTTCCCGCTGATTTTACTAGAGGACATTCAAAACAATTGCTTGATTTCATCTGTAAGTCCGTGTCCAGATGGAAGGACATAAATGTAGAAGTGAGGGAGGCCACCCTGCTGCCCAGGGCACGCCAGCTTGGGCATCTGGGCTGTGACCTGTGCCTTGGTTTCTGATGGGCTGTCAGGTGGGGTGACCTGATTTGTGAAAATCAGCTGAAAGTGGTTGCATCCTGTGCACACCTCACTCATCGCAATGGAAACCCCACGGGAAGGGGAAGGGGTGCTGCCGCAGTGTCCCAGAGAAGAACATAGTCCTGGACACGTGAGCTGGAGACCGCCCTCCCCAACACCCTCCCCGACCACTCACACCTCAGGGGTGCGGACAGGATTCTGCTGTGATGCATCCGTAGCAACTATGACCTAGCCACCCTGAGATGCTCCCCACCCTCCTCTCTGACACACCTGAGCGCCGGGATTGATGAGGACAACATAACCCTTTCACCCCCAGATTCTCCCGGGCAGCCAGCCTGTTCCCTCCCGGCACCACCCCTCAGCTGCCCGGACACTGGGTAGGCTCATGTCTGAGGACAAATGGTTCAGTATGGAAGCCACGTGCTGCAGAACAACCTGAAGGCCACATTCTGACTCACTGCCTGTGATTTATGCCCTGCAGCTCCTGGCAGGAGATGGGGAAGGAGGGACCTACTCAGTGACACAGGAGGGTGTGAGTGCTGTCCCAGCTCATGGCGAAGGAGCTTCAGACTGGTCTTAATCTGTGTGGCCTTACGAATGATCATAAAATTTGTCCCTCAAATAGTCGGAATGGCTCACGCTTTGAGAGCTTGGACACAAGACCAATGACGGGGTTCATGTCCGAGGGAAGGCACAGCACTCATTGCTCTCCCACCAGCTGCCACCACTGTCATAGCGGCCAGTCCCCAAGGCATGTGGGACATACAACGTGAAAGAACGCAGGCCTTACCTTCTGTGTCTTGCATATTTGCCACTAACATGACCACTGCCATCACAGCCGGGCGTAGGACAGCTGCAACGAGAAAGAATTAATTACACGGTGCCCCATGCCGCAGGCGGTTAGACCGAGAGTGTCCGTGACGGACAGACGGAGGGCTACGCAGATGGACAGAGAAGCACCAACCTGGATGGGGCGAGGGATGCTTTTCATCAGCAAGGCTCAGGGGAGGCCACTGCACCAGGGCAGGGCTGTGAGGAGGCCCAGGAAAACGTCTGGGCTCTGCTATGGGGACACACTTACACACAGAACACTGACCTGAACAGCTCCTGGATGGCTGGCTCCACGGGAACTGCAGGAGAAGGGAAACAGATAACAATGCGTCATGTACCACAGCACCCGCTTCCACACAACATTTCCCAGGAGGTGGCCGGCAGTGGTCACAATGCACTAAGCAGCAGCTGCTGCCGCAGGAAGGTGACCCGAGGGGCCTCCAGGGAGCCAGGGAGTGTGGACGTACCTCGAACCCCTTTGGACCGCGTGCGATGCCGCTTCTCCTCGGCGTCCACCTCCATCTGGGGAGAGAGCAGCAGGTGGTCAGTGTCCTTCCCCACATGCCAAGGTCGCAGCGTGCGCTGTGCCCTGGCACCACGCTGAGGGACAGTGTGCAGGGAGCCTCTCTGGGGGAAGCACCGGGCCATGCAAAGGCGTAAGAAATATGGGCCAGCCTTGACCTTGCATGTACAAGGGATGCTTAGTCGGAGGCCCTGCCTGTGAGGAGCCTCGAGCCAGCCTGCGTCCTCTCCTTTAAAGGACGGAGGAGGACACATCTGGTGACTCCGAGAGGAGCGTCGTACCAAGCATGTTCGCTGGAGTTGTTGTCTGTCCAGCAGGGGGTGTCACTGGACCACGACGGGCCTTGGTGACCCACTGTCCCTAGCCCCTGTGGTGCTGCTGCTACGCACACTGACCTAACTCATCAGGATGCTCTTCAGGGACACAGGTCTTTGCTCGTGGCAACCCGCACATCTCACACTTTGCTTCATGCACTGCCTTGTAGGACCCTCAACAGCTCTGTAAGGAAGGCACTGCATCGCCTCCTGGAGAGCTGACTCACCGGGAGCACCTGATGGAAGTGGTGCAGGCCTGTCTCCACATGTCTCCTTAAGAAGGGAACGTACTGCTGGATGGGTAAGTGCTAGGGTTTTGTGCGCCAGATATTTCCGCAGCGTGTAACTATACACGGCAAACTGCCCATGGGGTGGGGGGTGGTAGGTGAGGGGGTGTTTCCTAGTGCACCCAGCAGGCTACCAAGGACAGATGCAAAGAGGAGACACAGGCCGAAACCGGTTTGGCTCAATGGATAGAGTGTCAGTCTTAGGACTGAAAGGTCCCAGGTTCGATTCTGGTCAAGGGCATATACATTGGTTGCGGGCACATCCCCGGTACGGGGTGTACAGGAGGCAGCTGGTCGATGTTTATAGCTCTCTATCCCTCACCCTTCCTCTCTGTAAAAAAATCAATTAAAAAAAATATATATATATAAAGAGGAGACGCAGGTCCTCTGACCACAGGAGCAGAGCTGCTCAGCCCACCTGGGACCTCCCTGCCCTGCCCAGGGGCCAGAGCTGCCACAAGATGCCACCTTCTCCACTGTGTGCCGAGTACGGCATCGGGCAATAAAAAATGGGTGTAATAAACACGGAAGCTGTCGATGGGCTTACTAGCCGTTCCTGGGAGATGGAAGTGTTCCGATAGAAGACTGAGATTCGATACAATAAGCATTTCGGGAGAGCAGGAGCCAGGGTGAGGTGTGGAAGGAAGTGGGAAGGGAGGCCACACCTGAGCCTACGGCTCACCCTGGACAGAGCTTGGATGAGTGAGTGAGGGAGGGAGGCCAGTGTCAGCTGAGGAGGCGGCAGGTTGAGGAGGTGGGAGGGGCAGATGAGTGCTGAGAAGAGGGCTGAAGGAACAGAGGGGCAGGGCGAGGGCTGGGGCCAGAGGGAGGGGCACAGTCAACCCAGCAGTTACCCAGCTGCTGTCCTCTACTGAGCAGGTGAGGGGGGGCACCACACAAGCACATTTTAGAAAGAAATGCAGGCGGCGAGAGCACGGAGGGCGCAGGAGAGCCGAGAGGAGGCGAGTCCCCAGCCTGTGTCGGGGAAGAGCGAGGCCAGGAGGAGGATGGGGTTGAGGAAAGGAGAATGTGCCTGTGGCTCCTCCTGTCCTTCGTTCCTGAGCCCATGCGGTGCCTGGGGCCCTGACGCATGCGTGCCATGGACACGCAGGATGTCAACAGCACCTCGGCAGCTTGAATGCTAACCTGCTGGTCTACACACAGAACTCCCACGCCTGGTGCAATGCCAGCCAAGCCTAACACCTTGTGCAGGGCACAGCATGGGGTGGGAATGCAGAGGGCTGTTGCTGTGACCTGGGGCAGTGGCCCCTCCACCCTTCCTTCCCTTTCCATCCCTCTCTTTCCCTCCATCCACACTGCCCTCTCCATGCCCACCTGCCATTTTGAAAAGAAGGCCTATTTCCCACTGGTGACTGTAAGAAGCACCAGCTGACCTGTCTGGCTCTGAGGCCAGAGCTGCAGGACCTGGTCTGCGAGGTCAGGATGGCCCAGCAGCCGTGGTATCTGAGCCTGTCTTGGTGACTGACATCAGAAAACCCACCTTAACGTGCCACATGTGCATTCACCCCTTCCAGGCCAGGTTTATTTCTATAGGACAGGTTTCCCTGGGAATCTATATGATTTCAATATCAGCTACCAGAGTAACCTGAAGAGAGGGCAAGCGAGTTACTTTGTAAAATGTAAACTTTGCACGTGGACTCAGGACTTATTTCATGACTTTCATTTTCCCTCTGTCTTTCTTCCCCAAAAAATGTGCACCCCCTTGTCCAGCCGGTGTGGTTCCGTGATGGAGAGCTGTCAGGGCACAGGCCCAGATTACAGACTCGATCCCTAGTAGGAGGCGAGCAGGGGGCAGCCCATCAGTGATTCTCTCCAACATTGATGTCTCCCCCTCTCCCCCTTCTTCCTCTCTGAAATCAATTAAAATGTATTTTTAAAAACGTGACTTCCTCAGGTTGAGCCTATCGAAGCGCACACATTCGGGCTGGCTCCTTCAGACCGGGGGCTGTGCTCTGACCTTGCTCTGTCCCCGGAGCTCTCAGGCCAGCAGTGTCCAGGGCGGAGCTGTCCTTGGGCTCTGAGGACAGCAGGAGCCTCTGACTTGCGTCCTGCACACTGCGAACGCTCTCCTTCTGGCAGGAACAGGGCAGGGGGCACAGTGGGGTCACAGTCCCCTGGGGGACCTCTGGGACCTGTCAGAGCCTGAGCCCGCCCTCCCGCAGCCAGTCCTTCATTATTCAGGAAGCAACAGCATCTGTCAATTAGCCATGCCTGCCTTTCCCCTCCGAGGCTCAGCCTTTGGTCCCTCACAGCTCATTAGCACCCTGACCAGCAGACTGCAGGGGCAGAGCTGACACCCTTGGCCCAGTGGGGGGCCTAGAGGGATGGGGGAGCGAGTGACAGAGGAACCCAAGCAGCTCCTGGCAAAATGCAGTGCGCAGACTGCTGCACACAGCTTCCTGCACCTCCATGCTGGTAGACTGTCTCCTAGGCAACCAGGACCCGGCCAGCTCTCAGAACAGGAAAATCGGCGGGTAAAGGTTAGGAAGACTCAGGAACTCCGCACAAGTCGTCCTTGAAAAGTGCTTAGAAAATGACTGTAACCAGATTCTCCAAAACATGACCCTTTTTCTGTTTCTGTGAAATAACGTAGCACAAACATGTTAGGATGCAGGGTTTCTATCTCTAGCCATGAAGAGAAAGCATGGCCTCATTATCAGGACCGTGAAGTGAGGAGGGGTTAGCAGGTGTAGTTCATGGCTGCCCCTTTGTAATGTCCACTTTCAGTTCTCCAACCTCCCAGGGTGGGTAAGGAAAAACTAGGCCAGGACAGGGAGCAAAGCCGTGGTGTGTGCTGTTTCCTTCTCACTGAGGAGGGCAGCAGTGACACAGCCTCAGGGAAAGAGACCGCCCCACCCCAGCCAGAGCTGTGTGGTGAGGAGCAGGAGAGGCAGGAGAAACAGAAATTCTGGGGGAGAAAGACAGGCAGACGCAGTGATGCACAGCTCCGCCTGAGACTGGGCCAAGCCCACGCTGAGGCGGCCACACGGCCCTCCACAGCTGCTCCCTCTCCCCTTCTCGCTGGCTCGCGCTGTGCTCTCCCCTGGCCTCGCCCACACTTGGCCTCTGCTGACTGCCCTCCATGCACTGTCATGCTCTCCTCCAACAGTGTGCGCACCCCCACCTCTTGGGCACTCTGCACCGCCGGATGCCACTTCTAAACCTGCTCAGAGGCCTCGGTGACCCCAAAGTCTATCACTCCCACCCCGCCAGGTCCTCGCAGCTCTGCCACTCCCGACTCCGGGCTCCTCAGTGCTGCCCCGGCCAGCACACTCAGGGAGCCCCCCTGCTCCACACTAACCGCTCCTTTAGCCTGCGAGTCCCGTTTCTGGTGGCTTCCCGAGGATGCCCTCACTTCCTGTTCATTACACACGCGTGGCATCCCCTCCCGCACAGGCCACAGCGCCGCAAGCCATCCCACCTCCCGGCTGCTGCTGCTCTGCCCTCACGGCCCTCTGCCTTCTGTACGTCCCGCTCCCACGTGTGTGCCGGGTCATGGGCAGAGCTCTCCCTCCACGCTGCCACCTGTGAGGAGAGCCTGCAGCCTCCCGCATCGGCCCAGCGCTTCTCAGCAATCAGCCCTCCAGTCCGCACCTCCAAGGCTTGTCTTGGTTCCTCTGTCTAATCCTCCCTCCCATTCTGGGTCCTTCAGTAGTCTTTCCTTCTTTCCTTCCCTCCCTCTGGACACCCCGAGCTCACACCAGACCTATCAGGACTGAGTCACTGTCTCTGGGTGCTTGTCCCTCACTATTTTGCTTCCTTGTCTAGACATTGCACTTACAGCTGTGACTTATCCATCATGGAGAATCAGGACAGTTCCCTGCCTTTCCTTCCAGAAGCCCCACAGGGACAGCAGTGTGTGTGTGTGTGTGTGTGTGTGTATGGGGGTGCACACAGGGACACAGGGATTGCAGTCTTGTGTGTGTGTGTGTGTGGGGTGCATACAGGGACAGCAACCGTGTGTGTGTGGGGGGCAAGAGGGTACACCGGGGACACAGGGACTGCAGCTGTGCAGGGGCAGAAGGGCAGTCACAACTCCTCCCTTCCTGCAGGCCGTCCCCTGTCCCGAGGGCAGCGGCCCTCTGTGCCCGGGATGCAGTGGACATAGGAACCGCTTGCTCTGAGGAGGACACCCCGACAGAGGCAGCCCACGGCACACACACTCTCTTCCGAAGCTGCCGTTCTTCATGTGCCCGAACCACAGCTCCCCAGGTGCGTGCCTGCGGTTAGCTCCTTTTCTGAATGGACGGGTCACATTCCCCAGAACGCATACACTGCAACTTAGTGAACCATTCCTGTGGACTCCCCTACTAATGGATTTTTAGGTTATTTTATTTCATATATTTGCTTTATTCCACTATACAAAGGTGCGATAAA